TGCGTAGTACGTGAAAAGGTCATCCAGATTTGTGACGTCGCCCGTCTCCAATGAGACCTTGGCCCACACGAAAACACCAGCCTTGAGGTCCTCCCGCACGCTGTGCGACAGAGTATTCCGAACAATAAAAATATTCACCATGAGCTGCACAAGTTCCTGAAGAAGGTCATGGTCGGGGTTGACATTCTTCCCGTAGTGCTGGTACGCGAATTGGGAGGATGGCGCGTCGTCGCGGCACCGCCTGTTCACTCGCGCAACGAGACACATGTCTTTGGACAGCGCTTCCTTTTGCTTCGCGTCCAGAAACGCCGCCGATACGACCTCCCGCCGGTCGAACCACTCGACCATGGCGGCGACCCGTGACGCGAACGTATCAATCCTCCACCACTGCGGCTCCCCTATTCGTACAGAAAGTGCGCCGACCTCCCGCGGCACCGTCGACCGTGGCACAAAATCCTTGTATAACATCTGGGCGTCCTTCATGATCGTCAAAGGCGTGTCGAAGTCAGTGCGAAACCCACGCCCGCCCAATCCGGGGGAATCCTCTGCGTCCTGTGGAACAAACTTTTTCTTGGCATCACTTATTGCCTTCAACCGCGTGACGAGAGCATCTATGCTCGCAGGATCCAAAGATTCGGCTAACATCGCGATCCTGTCCACTGCGATGCCGCCGGCAGGATACGACGTCGAACTCGACGATGACCACGCGGCCGCGTCGGCCAAGTCCCTGGCAGTGACCTTTCTCTACTCAATACAACCCTCCCGGGCAGTATGCGTTTTCTTCTTAGGCCGCTCGGTCACAAGCAACTGGCCGCAGTATGAGCATTCCAGTTGCCCACGAATTCGTTTCAATTCCAGCGCTCTCTCGGTTGGGCCACGTTTCCGCAACTGCCAAAAGCATTGAGAATCCAAACAGCCCCTTGGGGCGTCAATGGTCTGGAGCAGCCCCTCTGTTAAACCCCCTTTCTTCCCTCCTTCCTTCCTCCATTCTTGCATGCTCCCTCCTGCCCCTCCATCTTCCTCGCGCCGCATTGCTGCTCCTTTTCCTCCCGCTCCTCCTGCTTCTCCTTCGGCACTTCCTGCTCGTCCTACTCCTCCGTCTCCTCATTGTCCTCCTCCTCATCCTCCTCGTCGTCGTCCTCCTCCTCCTCATCATCATCATCCTCTTCCTCCTCCTCCTCCACCTCCTCTTCCTCCTCCTCCTCCGCCTCCCCCCTTTCTCCTCCTCCTTTCCTCCTCCCTTCCTCCTCCTCCTCCTCCTCCTCCTCCTCCTGCGCTACTGCCTGAGGCGCAACCGAAGTTCACTTCGGCACCTCTAGAAAGAAATGGAGACCCGCCCTCCTCCTCTCTCCTCCCTCTCCTCCTCCTCCTCCTCCTCCTCCGCCTCCCCCTCCCCCCTCCCCTTCCCTCCTCCCCTCCCCCTCCCCTCCTCTCCCCTCCTCCTCCCTCCTCCTCCTCCTCCTCTCCTCCTCTAGACTCCCTCTCCTCCTTCCCTCCTCCTCCTCCCCTCTTCCTCCTCTCCTCCTCCTCCTCCTCCTCCTCCTCCTCCTCTTCCTCCTCTTGCTGCTCCTAGCCCAAAGATGGCACCGGCAACAACTCCACTTCCAACAGGGCCGCCACAAGCAGCACCACCAGCAGCACCGACACCGCCACCAGCAGAAGCACCAGCACCGCCACAAGCAATAGCAACAACGGCATGAACAGCAAACGCACCCGCAGCAGCATCAATAGGAAACCCAGCAACAGCACAAGCACCTGAAGCACGAGCACTCATAAAATCAACAGCCCAAACATCAGCAGCAGCATGAACATCAGCAGCACCTCCAACACCAGCAGAGCCGACACCATTTGCCCCCAGAGCTCTCAGAGTTCACCCGTGTTGAACACGCTATTTCAGTACGCGCGTCTCCGATTCCCTGCTCCTGTCAGCTATCAGGGAGAAGGTTTCTGGATAGGTTGGTGGGGGTACGCGAAGCGACAAGAATTCAGGAACCGGCCCACTGGCGTGTCACCGAATTGCACGGGCGCATCTCCGTCCACGCCACCGCGGAGGCCCGCAGTCAGATAAAAAATAAAATCCCTTGAAACAGCGATGGCGACAACGACGACAATGATTATGACAAGGAGGATACCGATGATGATGATGATGATGATGATGATGATGATGATGATGCTGATGATGATGATGATGATGCTTAGCATGATGATGATGGTGGTGATGATAATGATGATGATGATGATGATGATGATGATGATGATGATGATGATGATGATGATGATGATGATGATGATGATGATGATGATGATGGTGACGGTAATGATGATGATGGTGGCGATGGCCTCGGGCTCGTAACGTGCCTGGACCTAGCAATGCGAAACAAACCGCGAACACCTTCTCGGTTCCCAAGCGTGTGAGACTCGTCCCCTCCACAGCCCCGAGGTTCCCCGTGCGGGCTCAGGGATGCCCCAAAAAACAACCCCGCCTCACCAAAGAAGTCCAACCCAGCAAGAAATATACGGGCCCCACTCCAACGCTTCCACCCTTTGGGCATCTCCAGAACGATGCCAAGATTGCATTCGCGTCCTTTCTTTTCCGATGGGCCCCCCGAGGCCTCGAGATGACCCCAAGCGGATTCCACATGGCCCCAAGAGAGGTCATTATGGACCCCTACACGACTCCCCAGCCCGATTCAAGCGAACCGGCAAGACCGCCAAGATGAGGGGTCGGCGGATGTGGCGTAAGCCTATAGAATCTCAAAAACGCTGTCATCTCTCGGGGGCGCATGTTTCAACTTCCGCCGCCGTCCGCAGGGCTTCCGCCGACTTCTGCCGGCGGAGGCGGCCCCGTTTTACTTCCGCCGACCTTGCGCCGCCTTCCGCGGCGGAAGAGATGACAACTCCTTCGACCCTCGAAGGCAAAGTCCTGTTTGGAGCGCCCCATATGGTGGGAGGGTGAGTGGGAATGAGCGAGACAGCTTGTGGCATTAGGACTTTGGCACCCCCTCCCCTTGGTCTGGACCGGGGGCGCGATGGGGTCAGAACGTCCACGGTGGCCCGAGATGGCTCCAAGACTTTCCGTGATATGCCAAGGTGGGCTCCAAGATGGCACAGCATAGCGCAAGATGGCTCCCAGCACGCCTCCAAGAGGCCCCAAGACCGCCACGCGAGGGCTCCAACCGTTCACGTGGCCTTCCAAGGATGCCCGCCCCCCCAAAGTGGTTCGATGATGTTCGGCTTCTCGCCTTTTCGCTTCTAATGAGCTTCTGACGCCTCGAGATAGCTCCAACATCGCGCAAGGGAGCCTCAAGAGGTCTCAGAAGATGTCAACGGCCTCCGAGGCCCCCAATAGCGCTCCAGGAAAGTTCCACCCACCCCCCACGAGACGACTGTTCGGGCTTCGACTGGGAACACTTCAATTTCAACATCACCCTTTTGTTGATCAGTGGCCTCCAGGATGGGCCCCCCAAAGCCCCCAAGAAGGCCACAAGAGACCCCAAGAGGGCTCCGCAAGCCCCCCAGCCGAACGGCGCAGGAGATCTTCGAGCTGGCTCCCAAGAGGCCCCCAAGAGGCTCCCAAATGTGCCCACATGTACTACGGTTGGCCTTTCTGCTTCACGATATTTCCCTTCTCCCAACCGCTCGCGTGGGCATCGATTCCTGGATGGGCCTGATTTGTTAGCCCGAAGCCAGCCACACGGACGCCCAAAAGGAGGATCATGGCCGGTGGGGTTGCTGGGCAGCTGGGAACAGCAAGTGTTCCCTGTATCTACAAGGACTGGCGGCCAGCGACTTCGGTGGCAACTCCTGGGAGACTCTCATACCATCTTGTTGGCTCTTGCGAGTCGACGCCAAGCGACGCCAGTCGACGCCAAGCCGACGCTAATCGACGCAAAATCTGCGCACATCGACGTTACTTCGGCGCTAGCTCATCGACTACAAGACGCTGATCGACGCTAGTACACTCTGCGGACGGAAGTGCGAATCAATACAAGGCTCTCACGATTTACTACCAAAGCGACCATCCACACGTCGACTTCTGCTGACCTCGGGACTCGAACTTTGGAGCCCTGTTCCGTTGGCTCTGCCTCCCGCTGCGCCGGTAGAAGCTGGCTGTAGCCCCAGCGGCAGATTGTGCCGCCAAGAGGCCCAAACCCAACATGCACGAGCTCTGCTTCCTCGTCATCCTGTTCCCCTCCCTACGCCCCGTCCCTCCTCCCCCATTACCTTTTTCATTATTTGCCTCCTTCCTCTTCTTCCCGCCCCTCCTTACATCTCTCCCCTTTCCTGCCTCCTTGGGTTCCTCCCCCCCTCCCCGCCCCCCACCCTGCGACCGGGAACTCTTGGACAGCACGTCGCGGCGGCGGCCCCGGCGACACGCCATGCTTCGCGAGCGGATATGGCGTGCCTCTCCGCTCCGCGGGGCGGAAGGCTGCGATGGCGATGACGACGATATCATTGTCGCCATCGTCGTGTCATCGTCATCGTCGTCGTCGTCGGCGTCATCGCCATCGTCATCGTCATCGTCGCGCCGAAGCGTGGTGGGGGCCCAAACCCGCGGAACCGCACGTTGTCTGAAACCTCCCGACCGTATATCCCTCCCCTTTCCCGCCCTGGGGTTTTCCCCCCTCCCTGCTCCCTGCTCCGGACTCCATGACAACATTTTTTGGAGGGGTCTGATTTGAGCTGCCTTGGAGGATTCGGGGGGGTCTGGGCACGAGGCCGCCATTTCACGGCTGGTTTGGGGGGTGGGGCTGAAATTGCTCGCCTGGGAGGAATGTGACCCCCCCTAATTATAGGCCGACGAGATCTATACACATCCGCTGTTCCATGGCAAGGCCCAGCACGAACCCAGCAGCGGTGAACCATGAGGGCGCATGCGCAGCTTCTGGGCTCAGGCCGGGGTTGGCCTGGCCAGGGAGCACTGGATGCGTGGGCGATCCTGGAAACCCTGGACCCAAAAACGTTGTTGTTTATTGGGGGCGCACATTTAATTTCCGCCGCCATCCTTTTTTTTTGCAACGCTACACCCTCTAAGAGTCATTGCGGATGTCTTGCGACGGGCCCAATCAAAAACTACCGATCTCTCGGCGCAGCATAATTCTGTCGAGACGAATTAGCTGGGGCCTGAAGGGAGCGCAGAGGCTGGGGTGACGCGGAGCGCTGGCCTCCGCCCACAGGGTCCCACCCCCGAGCACCCCCTCCTCTAAGGGGATGGCACTTCGAGAGCGGTCGCAACAGGACCCTCTAGTCCCGCCGCGAGCCCTCGACCCAAAGGGTACCTAGCTTCCACGGTCTCTTGGGACCGTTCCAGAACTAAAAAACCGATCTAACCCACGGAGCTCACATGGGGCCGTGGCAGGGGCGTTCACTTCTGCTTGGGGCGCTTGGGGTGTTTCTTGCCGCCTCCGCCGCCGCCCTTGAACACTAGCTTCTCTAGCTCCTTCGCATCCTTGCTCCTGGGGGCCGTATCGTCCTCGAGCACTATGTTCACTGACTGCAGGCCGCCGTTCTCCTTCAGGCAGTAAATGGCTTGCATGAGAGGCGGGTGCGCCATAGCGGCGAATATCCACTTGGTTTCCTCCACCGTCTTGCCATCGACGTCGGTCTTCGTCTGGACGTCGAAGCAGCGGGTCGCCTTGAGCCGCACCTCCTTGTTGTTCAGGCTTTTGCCGAGGTTGACCACCAGTCTCAGTGCCTCCTTCGACTCGACTGGCTGCGGCCCCTGGGCCACAGCTGCGTGAACTTCCTCCAGCTTGCCCTCGACCGCTTCGCTCAAGCGGAATAGCAGCATGCGGAGGTAGGCGTCGGGCTTCTTCCCTAGCGGGTGGCCGCGATACTCGCTTGGCTCGACCGCAGCGCGCGCCTCCTTGCCGACCTTCAAGTAGTTCTGGATGCCCGCCGCCAACGCCAGCTGCATCTGGGAGCCTGTCTTCAGCTTCACCACTACGTTCTGGTCGCGCGCCGAGCCTCTGAAGTTGTCTTCGTGGCGGAGCAGCAGCTTCGTCATGAGCCTGTCCTTCTTGGAGATGCCCGATGGCTCCGCGTCCTCGGGTTCGGCTCCGCCTCCGCTGACCTCGGCCTTGGCCGCGTCCCTCTTCTTGATGATGTCCGCCGCGGGCTCGAACATTGGGAGGAGGTGCCGAGGGCGGAAGCGGTGGCCCTGCAGGTGGCACTGGAGCGCGCTGAGAGCCAACGCGCTGCGGGCAACGGTGTTGAACGTGACGAAGAAGGACATCTTTACGAGAAAAAGAGGCACTGCAGAGAGGGCATCTCCTAGCAATCAGATCGGCAATGGGGATATCCAACCTATTGGCGATGATGTCATGAACCGCGAACCTGTGATTCTCCAACCCCTTCTGGCCCTGACATATTTTTCCGCAGTCGGGGCAAACAAGGCGATGCTCTTCATCGATGTCACCAGCTTCTCGGAGTCGGTCACTCTCCGCTTCGTGTGAGAGGACGGCCTTGAGCTCTGCGTGTGAGAGCATGTCCAGCCACTCCAGCCAGTCTCGTGAAACAGTCGGCGAATCGTTCGGAGCGCGCATCTGGCTCTCCTCGGAAATGCAAGCCCACAGCGCACGAAGGTCTGCGAGAAGTTGCCCCAATCGACAATTGTGATTTCGACTGCGAGGGTCCTCGAACGAGAGTCGGCCGAAAATTACCGCCCGTACAGCCTCTGTGGGGTCATACTCGGGTCTTTCTGCCTGGAGCCCAGGGGCAATCACATGTCGCCACCACTGCAATCTACGATACAGCAAAGTAGAGCTCACACTATAGACTTTTGCACGACGTCGGACATCGGCGTTGGAGACATGGTGGAGATGAGCGGGGGAGCGAAGTACATGTCGAAGTTTCTTGGTTTGCCAACGTTCGAGTTTCTTCAAATCCATCTTCGTGAGAAAGGCAACTTCTAGTGCGTATAGGGCGATAGACCGTACTAGCGAATTCCACAAACGTATCTTGAGGCGCAGGCTGAGGTTCCCTTTCAGGACCTTCTGGGACAGCTGGCCGTGGGCCTGGTTGGCGGAGGTCAGGCGAGCCTTGACCTCAGCCGAGGACGACCCCGTCGCCGAGAGCAAACAGCCAAGGTACTTTACAGTCGGCGTCGGGTGGATCGCACGAGTCAGGCCGTCGGCGTGGGTCAGGCTAATGCCAGTCTGCTTAGCACTGATTTTCTTCCGTACCCGTCTGCACCCCTTCCCCACCACGCTTACCATCAGCTCGGTCTTCGGGACATTCATGGTTAAGCCGCTGGCATTAACATGAATCCGCAAAAACTCTAGGAACTCGGAGACCGTCGCTAAGTCGTCGACCACGGTCAACGCAGCGCTAAGTCGTCGACCGTCGCTAGGTCCAGCACGAACCCAGCAGCGGTGAACCATGAGGGCGCATGCGCAGCTTCTGGGCTCAGGCCGGGGTTGGCCTGGCCAGGGAGCACTGGATGCGTGGGCGATCCTGGAAACCCTGGACCCAAAAACGTTGTTGTTTATTGGGGGCGCACATTTAATTTCCGCCGCCATCCGCCAGCTTCCGCCGGCGGAAGCGGCCCCGTTTTACTTCCGCCGCCTTCCGCCGTCCTTCCGCCGCGGAAGAGATGGCAACCCCTTCGATCCTCGAAGGCAAAACGCCCTGAGAGCCCCACGTGTAGATTTCGCCGCCCCTACGTACGAAATCTGGGGTGCTCCAATCCGGTTCGCCCTGTCCCCCCTCCACCGCGTTCGCCCCCCCCCCCGCCCCGGGGCGGTGCAGCCCCCCTCGTCCTCCGCCACCGCTGCATCCGCTGTTTTTCCCTCCCGCCTCCGCCAGCTCTCTTCTTCCCCGCTCTGCTCCTCCCCCTGCAGCCCTCGCGCTGCCGCGTGGAGCGCCAGCTGCGGAACGGAGCGGCCCTGGGGCTCCCCGCGCGTGGCCGAGCGCAGCAGATCCTTCCTCCGCGCCGAGCCACGCCGCCTCGCGCCGCATCTGGGCGCCCACCGCCCGCACCAAGGCGGCTGCTTCGTGAGGGTGGAGAGGTCGGCCGAGGAGCGCCCTGCGGGCCCCGAGGCTCCCAGGAGCGCCCCGGGAGGCGCCCACACGGACCCAAGAGGCGCTCAACGCCCTCGCCGTCCTCGTCGTCGCCGTCTTCAGCGTCGGCGGCACCGGCCGCAAGGCCTTCGCGATATACGGAATGGAACGGCTTCGCTGGCCACGGCGGGCGTCGGCCACGAAGGGGCTCCCAGACACGACTCTGAGGAGCGGCCCCGGCAGCCAGAGCCCCCTCTGAGCCCAAGGTGGCCCTTATTTGCAACGTCTTGGCAGGTGCACCCTGCTCCCCTGGCTCCTCCGCGGTCCGCCACCTTCTCTGCCCCCCACCCCACACACACCGTTTCCTCACTTCCCCCTCTTCCGCCCTCGTGCTCCTCTGCCACCTTTCCTCTTTCTTCCATCCTCGTTCCACCGTCCACCCAGTCCTCGCTCTGCCCCCCCCCCCGCCCCTCCTCGTCGCCATCATCGCGGCGGGACGGGCGAACGATCGGTCTGGTGCCTTTTCCAGGAAAATGGCCCCTGGGTGCGGCCACCTCGGAGAAGTGGCAAAGACCCCCCCCCAGCTGGCAGCAACGCGGGCGGTCTGCTTCGGCCGCTCGAGCAGCATCTCGTTGGAAGAACAGGCAGCGGCGACCGTGAAGAAGATGTCTGCGTGCCTTGGCTCTTGCACAAGAGGAAGAAAGTCCGAGCTCTAGACACAGTGCGCAAGAAATTACAAATCGTGACGGTGAGTCCTCAGGCCCAGGATATCGACCGCCTGGTGGGATGTCGACAGGCGCCCTCCTCCCACCTCCTTCGCCCTCCTCACTCCTCCCGGCGGCGACAACGCGGAACAAGAACAGACGTCGCAATACGGCAGTGATGATACTTGCGCTTCGTCGCGTGGGCGGACAAAACGGCGGGGTGAACGATGTGGACTGGCAATCGGGAAGGGTCAGGGCAGGTTGGGCGGTGTGGCAATTGGTATGACTGTGAGCCCGTCTGCGTGTGACCGGATGGATGTACGTGGGTACGGGTCCGAGTTGGCCTGAGTATACGTGTGGCTGTATCTGAGCGAGCCCGATTGCGAGTGAGCGTTTTTTGAATGGATCGGAGCATTTGCGCAATGTAACCCAGCGTAAGTGAATACACCAGAATCCAAATCAACACAAAGCACATCAACGCAACTCGAAGCAAGGCAATGTAACGAAATGCGCTGCAAATATGATACGTTCCGAAGCAATAGTGCGTGTGTGGAACAATCCAAACTGCCCTCCAGGCTGAGGTCGTCTGGGGCTTTTCCTTTTCAAATCGCTCGCCGCCCTCTCAAGGGAGAGATGGCTGATTGTTCCTTCTTATTAAAGACGCCCCCCCACCTCGACCGTCGACTGCACAGGAACGGTACCGCCCCATCATCACTGTCCAAAAACAAATACAAAGTGCACGTTGCGACAAAATCTAAACGATGTCCGGGCGCCCCCCCGATCATGTTGCATTGGTTTTTACACGGACTGCGGAGGGCATCACACTGCCCGCTGTGCGCAGGAGCACCATCCTTGTCAAAATCACATGTAGTGTGATTACGGGCGCACACGGTGCACAATAGTGGAAGCCCTGGCGTTTGATAAGTATGGTCGGGGGGCTCGAGATATTTCCCGATATGTGCTGTGACGTGCGCCAGCGCACCTGGCGCACTCTGCGCGCGACGCGCACGTAGCGGCGCACCTGGCGCGGTTGGAGCACGTGGCACACTGGGCGCATGTGGAGCACGTGGCGCATCTGGCGCACCACGCGCGCTTGGCTCGCTTGGGCCCACGGGCACCTGGCACGCGCGGCGCACCTCGCGGGCATCGCGCTCCTGGCTGGCGTCTGCACTGGTTCGGCTGATGGACAGAATCCTGCACCGCCCGCACGCCCAGGGTGCGGGCGCGAACTTCAACGCGCCCCATTGCCCCGATTCAATGTTGGTTGGCATCGCCTTTGGGACCCCTCCAAAGTTCCCCCCTCACAAACATGATCGACCCACGAACCCGGAAAGGAATATCGAAATGTAAGGCGTTGCAACATTTCAAAGACACCTGATTGGGCGATGGGCACATGCAATGCTGCATGTATCGATGATGATGATGATGATGATGATGATGATGATGATGATGATGATGATGATGATGATGATGATGATGATGATGATGATGATGATGATGATGATGATGTACTGTGCCAAGGGCTGTGCTGTGCTACGCCGTGCTGACCTGGGATGTGCCATGCCGCGATTGCGCTCTATATATATATATATATATATTCCTGTTTATATTTTTACACGGCCGGGGAGCCCCCCCCCCCCCCCCCCCCCCCCGAACGAATTTCGGATTTTCCATCCTGCCGGGGCGCTCTCCCTGGCTCTCCCCAGCGCTGACCGGCGGCCTGGAGTCGCCTTGGACAGCCCCCAGACACGGCCACGCCGCCCGAAGACGGCCCCGGGAAGCTTGACATTGACAGCCAAGGAACTGCAACAGTTCCTACAAAAAAAAGTCCCCACCCGCTCACAAGGCCGCCCAGAGAGCCACCAAGAAGCGCCGAAGAAACCCAAAACTACAATTTTCTAACGTTTAGGAACGATTTTGGCTTTCTCGCCTCTCGTCCTGCCAAACTCAAAGACACACTGAAAGGCACTTGAGACCGCCCCACGACGGCCTAACAAGTGGCCGAAAGCGAGCCCCGAGAGGCGTCCAATATGGCCCATGACAGCCGCATGGCGGCCCCCAGAAAAGCGCAGAGGCACCCAAGGCCGCTCCAACATGGTCCAACCGATCGCGAAATCAGCTTCCCGACGGCCCACGAGGCGTTCAAAACGGCTATCAGACGCCCCCGCGGGGCCAAGAGGCCTCCAAGATCGCTCGAAGACGGCCCGCCCGATCCGAGGGGCTCCCCGAGAGGGCTTGCGGGCCCCAATCGAGCCTCCAAGATGGCCCAAGCAAGGCTGATGACCTCCCCAGAAGGACCCAACTTGACAGCAAACGAGCATAACAGGGCGCCACGAAGTTCCGAAGCCCCACGCAGCTCCGAGGTTCCGAAGGAGGCCCGCGAGGTTCCGAAGTCAGCCACATTGGTCCCAACGAGGCTCCTAGGGTGGCCCAGCCTCCCGCGTTGTCTCCGCCTGTTGTGAACAGCCGTTTGTGCCAAGTGCTGGCGCTCTTTTACTGCAGCGATGCCTCCGAATAAATCAGTTACATTCGTGTGCACTTCATGTTCTCGACGCTTACCGCGACGTGCATTCTCCAACACCCAATTGGACAAACCTCCGACCATTCGGGCTTGCAAGAGTTGCGCCGCCAACGCGCACGCATCAGCGAACCAGCCAACTCACGTCCTACTCTGCTCTTGCTGTGGAAATCTGAAACCGAGAGCGGATTACTTATCATATGCCTTGCGCCGGACCGCTCGAAAGTGCACGACCTGTCGGACGGACTCCGCCGTCGCTCCTATTACTTCAAACACATTCGTGCGCGCTTCATGTGCTGAATGCTCCTCCTCCTCCTCCTCCTCCTATCCCTCCTCTTCCTCCTCTGCCTCTCCCCCTCCTCCTCCTCCTCCTCCTCCTCCTTTTCCTTCTTCTCCTCCCCCTCCCCCTCCTCCTTGTCCTCCTCCTCCTCCTCCTCCTCTACTTCCTCCTCCTCCTCCTCCTCCTCCTCCTCTCTCCCCTCCTCCTCCTCCTCCTCCTCCTCCTCTCCTCCCCTCCTCCTCCTCCTCCTCCTCCTCCTCCTCCTCCTGCTCCCCCTGCAAGACCTCTTCGTCTTCCTCCTTTCTCTTCTCTTCTCCTTCCTCCTCCTCCTTTTGCTGCTGCTCCTCCTCCTCCTGCTCCTCCTCGTATTCCTCCTCTTCTTTCCTTCTCCTCTATTTCCTTCTCTTCCACTTGCTCTTCCTGCTACTCCTCCCCCTCCACGCCTCCCCCTCTTCCTCCTCCCCTCTTCTTCCTCCTCCTCCTCCTCCTCCTCCTCCTCCCCCGCTCTCTCTGCAAGTCCTCCTCGTTTTCCTCTTTTTCCTTCTCTTCTCCTTCCTTTTCCTCCTCCTCCTGCTCCTCCTCCTCCCCCCTCGTCGTTTTCCTGCTGCTCCTCCTCCTCGAACTGCTCCTCCTCCTCCTCCTCCTCCTCCTCCTCCTCCTCCTCCTCCTCCTCCTCCTCCTCCTCCTCCTCTTCCTCCTCCTCCTCCTCCTCCTCCTCCTCCTCCTCTCTCGCCCCCGCGTCGTCTCCTCCCTCCTCCTCAACCTCCTAGAAGAAAGAAGTAGAAGCGAGGTCCGAACCACGCCGAAGGCAACTGGGCCCTTGGGAGGACAGCCGGCGGGCTCCCCCGAGTGGCCTTTCCTCCCTCCCCCAAGTGCCCCTGCCTCCCTAACCCTGCTCCTCCTCTTCCTGCTTCCTCCCATCGGGGATCCAAGAGACCCCCCAGATCCCTGTAGGAGTGCTACGGTTCGGAAAGCCCAACGACGTCCAAGAGCGAACGTCTCGACGAGCCCCCCGCGCAAAGCCCACGCCGACGTTCTGCAAGGCCGCTTTCCCCGAAGTCGCATCAGCACGCCGCCTGGCACACCCCCCGTCTGACGCGCCACATTCTGGCCAGAATCCTGGGTTCGCAACCATTTGAACACAAATTTGGCTGCGAACCCGGGATTCGAAGGGTTTTCCTTTGGGAACCGCTCCCCTCACAAGAATCGTGGCATCCGGGCGCGAAAGTAAGAGCTCTCCGCTCCAACAGGCTATTCACAAACCACGCGGCCCGAAGAAGAGCGCCCAAAAGCATCGACGACTTCCAACAAGCGCCGAAAAGGCGTCCGAAAAAACCTCAGGAGTCCTCCGAAGAAAGCACTGAGAGTCACAATTGATCGATTTCCCCATAGCGTTTGAAGGATTTGTTATTTCTCTCTTGCTCGACCGTCCGACGTTGCAAGCGTTCGTTGAAGCCCGCCAACCCCTTCCAAAACGACCCCAGACGCTTGAAAGCGAACTCCCATAATCCTGAAGACAGCACCACCCAGGCCCAAGAGATGCCCAAGACAGTCCCCAAGAACCGCTTGCCAAAGACAACCGCGCATGAAGACAAAACCATCTCACTCTGCCGTCTCAGTGTTACAACCCCCTCCATCCGCAACCTGCCCCACTTCGTGATGCATAACCGCGAGGGCCCCTCAAAGGACCCCCAGGATAGCACGAATGCCAGCTGATCCAAAGCTTCAAGGAACAAGGTGCATGGCGCGAAGCGCCAATGCAGTCTTGTGTATATATATATAGCGTTGTAGATCGAGTCCTCCCTGGCATCCGAGTCCTCACCAAACTGATCTGGAGCGTAAGCTCGAGCTGCCTGAGCAGATGGTAGCTGCCCCAGAACTAATCGACAGAGGGAACATGCCAGGAGGACGCGCCGCGGAACGTCCCAAGGGACGCGCCAGGCGACGTGCCAGGGGACGTGCCATGGGCACGCACCGCGGGACGTGCCAAGGGGACGCGCTACGGAACGTGCCAATGGACGTGCCGAGGGACGTGCCAGGGGACGCGCCGCGCGACGTGCCAGGTGGACTCGCCACGGAACGCGCCAAGGAACGTGCCAAAGTGCATAGTTGAGTGTATCGATCTTGATGTACCGTGCCGACTGTGCTGTGCTGGGCCGTGCTGAACTGCGATGTGCCATGCCGCGATTGTGCTCTATATAGCGTTGTGGATCGAGTCCTCCCTGGCATCCGAGTCCTCACCGAACTGATCTGGAGCGTAAGCTCGAGCTGCCTGAGCAGATGGTAGCTGCCCCAGAACTAATCGACAGAGGGAACATGCCAGGAGGACGCGCCGCGGAACGTCCCAAGGGACGCGCCAGGCGACGTGCCAGGGGACGTGCCCATGGGGACGCACCGCGGGACGTGCCAAGGGGACGCGCTACGGAACGTGCCAATGGACGTGCACCGCGCGACGTGCCAGGGGGACTCGCCACGGGACGCTCCGCGGAACGTGCCAGGCAACATGCCAGGCTGCAATGCTAAGGGTATCGATATTGATGTACCGTGCCGAGGGCTGTGCTGTGCCTGGGCGACCTGGACACGTGAAAACACGCGTTTCGCTCAAGACGTTGTCAGCACATCCTCATGCTAGACATCCGCCTGGGCAACCTGGACACGTGCAAACAAGCGTCTCGCTCGAGACATCCTCAACAAATGCTCATGCTAGACATCCGCCTGGGCGACCTGGACACGTGAAAACAAGCATCTGGTTCGAGACATCCTCAACAAATCCTCATGCTAGACATCTGTCTGGGCCACCTGGAGGCGTGAAACCAAGCGTCTCGCTCGAGACATCCTCAAGACCTGGGCACGTGAAAACAAGCAATCCACTTGAGAGATCCTCAGAATTCAGGTCCCCAGGAGAGGACCATCTATAACACAAAACATGCGATTCGCTCGAGATATCCTCAACAAATTCTGAAAACAAGCGTTTCGTTCGAGACATCCTCTAAGTTTAATTCGCCGGCCCTACGCGACCTCGTTATTTATCGCAGAATAATTTCGCCGGCCCTACAGCCGTCGAAACCGGGGGCAACCAACTAAAAGAGAACCCTGGGCTCGAGACCTTTCCGGGAAAAAAACTTCCGCTCATCCTCTCTCACCCCTTCCTGAAGGGGCAGCGATAAAGGAGGACTGGCTCAGGGGGGGGGAACATCGACCTGAAATCGGCGATACATGGCCGATGGAACGGCGATTGCCCCCCGATAGCGAGACCACACGTTCCTGGGCGGGGCGGGACATCAGGCGCCTGTCGGCGATGAATGGGCACTTGGAGGACAACGCGCTCCCCCCTGAGCCCAATTATCCCCCCCTGACGTTGCCACGGGCTCCTCTGGGCTTTTGGGTCGTAACCCGGGCCTCTCGCTGCCGTTCGGGACGATCTGGGCACCCCCGGAACGCTTTCGGCGAGGCGCGGCTGCTGGAGAGCACCCCCTGGGCGGGGAAGCCGCCGAGAACCGACGAGAACGCCCGAAAGCCTCCCCCACCACCCCTGGAGCTGCCCCTCCCTCCCCCCCCACCCCTGGAGCTGCCCCTCCCCTCGCGCTGCCCCTCCCTCCCCCCCTCCCGAGCAGGGGCGGTGCCGCCGCCTGGAGGGCGCCGCCGGTGTCGGGCGCACCGGCGCCCTGGAGCAGGGAGACCAGCTCGCCGGACTGGCGCGGGGCAGCCCCCCCCCCGGGGGCTCGGGCATGGACCAACGGCCGCCAGGGGCAACTCCCGGCGCCACGGAGGAGCCAGCAAGAACAGCAGTCGTCAGTCTGAAGCCTGCTCGCTCTCATCTGCTCGCGTGCCGTTCAGCACGTAGACTCTCAAACCCTCGGTACCCGCCCTCTTCGTCTTCGATCGTACGCATCAACTTGGGGGCATGTCTTCGTTACCTGCCACGTGCATGCCTCCGCAGCCCCTTAAGGCATGGGAAGAAAGGGCGGATGGAAGGAAGGGACAAGGGAGAGGGAGAGGGATGACGCACGAGAGAAATGAGCAGGAGGGGGGCTAGGAGCAGAAAGCGCGTGGCAGAACCAGACGGGCAGATCGTGCGGGTAGACCCTAGCGTGCGGGTCGGGAAGGCAAGCCCAGGCGGGCTGCCGAAGCGCGAGTCCTTCATGAATCGCGAATAAGGTTCCAGCGATAGCGCGATTCCCAAGTAAATCGTGGGAGAGGCCAAGGCGAGAGCGTGATTCCTGAGTGTCGAGGGCGTGGCGTCTGAAGAATTGCGAAAGAATCCCGCGCGAGAGCACGATTCCTGCATAACCTGTGAAGAATTCCGGCACGAGAGCGCCAGTACCACGCAGGAGCCTTGAACTCTCACTTCTGAAGAATAATTATTGTTGATCCTCCCTCACAAGTGAATGTTGTTTTTTTTTCTCAATCAAAGTGCCCCTCGACGCTCACACCCTTTTTTGGTCAGGGAAAGTCTTCGTGCTCAAACTGTGCCCCTGGCCCCCCGGAGTGTAAAAACAACAACGGCTCCCGCCGGAGACTTCCTCCAAATTTACTCAGGACCCCCGCTCCCGCCTGTGATTTCCTCACAATTTACTCAGGATCGGTGCTCCCGCCTTTGACTTCCTCGCACTTTAATCAAGACCCCCGCTCCCATCTAATACTTCCTCGCAATTTACTCAGGAACGGCGCTCCCGTTTGAGACTTCCTCGCACTTGATTCAAGCCTTCCTCGCAATTTAATCAAGACCCCCGCTCCCGCCAGAGAACCCTTCACATTTTATTCCGGAGTTGCGCTCTCGCCTATGACTTCCATGCAATTTATTCAGAAATCGCGCTGTCGACGCTCAGGAAACACGCTGCGCCAAGGACGCCGTCATAATTTACTCAGGAATCGCGCTCTCGCCATACTCAGGCATCCCGCTTGAATGTCCCACCCGCCCGACCCGCCCGTCAGGGGATCGCCCTCCCGTCGTGGGCTCCCGCCCGAAATTTCCTTCAGGAGCGGCGTTTTCGCCTGGGACTTCCTCGAACATTCACGTTCTTACCTTCCTGCTCTTCCTCCCTCTCCCTCCTCCCTCTTCCCTCCTCTCCTCCCTTCTCTATCCCTCCTCTCTTCCCTCATCATTAAGCCTCTCTGCCCTATCCCCTCTCCCTCCTCTCCCTCCTCCCTTCTCCCTCCCCTCTCCTGCCTCCTCCCTTTTTATGTATCTCTCTCTCTCTCTCTCTCCCCTCTCTCTCTCTCTCTTTCTACCTCTCTTATCTGTCTGTCTGTCTCTGTCTATGTCTCTGTCTCTGTCTCTGTCTCTCTGTCTCTCTCTCTGTCTCTGTCTCTCTCTCTCTCTCTCTCTCTCTCTCTCTCTCTTTCTGTGCCTCTAATCAACCGCCCCCCTCTTCGCTCCTTCTCTCCTGGCGTTTTCCCTCTTCCTTCGTCCCTCCCCCTCCCCCTCCTCCCATTATCCCTCGTTCTCCCCCTCCTCTTTTTGCAGGGCCCACACCAATTCCAATGGCGGGCACATGTACGCCCACGAAGGATTGTCCGCCCGTTCAAGTTTGCCCGCCTGTCTAAGCCCGCCGCCCCCCGCAAAGAGAAATAATCCTCCCAAAGGGGGTGTGATCGAAGACAAAAAGGGCGGGTATCGAGGGTGTGGGGAACTCGTTTTGAATGACACGCGGGCAAGTAAGAGCGAACAGTCATATAATGATTGTTGTTGTTGTAACTCGAGGGCCCAACAACGCAGTTTGGTGACCCCTCGCCGTCCTATGTAAAAAAGCAGGGTGCGAGCCCCAGGAGAAGCACTTCAATTGAAAAATACAATGGTTACCGGAGGGGGGATCAAACATACCTATCTTTAACGAGAACGCAGCAACAACGACACCACCACCACCACCACCACCACCACCAACAACAACAACAACAGCAACAATCATTGTATGCGCGACGTTTCCACACGAAGCATGCGACCATCACGATAACTACCCCCATCACTGCAGCGAGGTCCGTCATTCCCATTCCCAGATATCTCGCCCAATGAGGTCTTGCAATCATTTCAACATATCCCGCCTCGAAAAAGACATGCCCGCGCCTTGCTGCGCCGTTGCGAGACCGCCAGTGGGGCCCCAGCCAAGGGGAAAGCACAAGGAAGTATCGAGCGACAGGATTGCCTTGGTGGGGATGGGGGCTGTCGGCGGCGAGGCAAGGACCTGGCTCTGAATAGGAAGGGGGGAAATCTCGAGCAGGGCCGCTGTTGTTGCTGGGAGCGGCGCCAATGCTGAAGAGAGTAGGGCGGTAGTCCAGCGTAAAACAAAACGAAGTCTCGAGCGGGAGCGCTGGTTTTGTTGGGACGGCAGTTGTCGGCGGCGAGGAAGAACACCGGGTTGAGTAAGAAGGGAGGAGGTCTCGAGCGGGAACCGTGGTTTTGTCGGGACGGGGGCTGTCGGCGGCGAGGAACAGCACCGTCCTGAGGAGGAAAACATGATCGACCCACGAACCCGGAAAGGAATATAGAAATGTAAGGCATGGCAACTGTTCAAAGACACTTGATTGGGCGACGGGCAAATGCAATGCAGAATGTATCGATCTTAATGTACTGTGCCAGGGGCTGTGCTGTGCTGCACCGTGCTGAACTGCGATGTTCCATACCGCGATTGTGCTCTACATAGCGTCGTGGATCGAGTCTTCCTTAACATCCGAGTCCTGACCGCATTGATCTGGATCTTAAGCTCGAGCTGCCTGAGCAGATGGTAGCTGCCCCAGAACCAATCGACAGAGGGGACATGCCAGGAGGACGCGCCGCGGAACGTCCCAAGGGACGCGCCAAGCGACGTGCCAGGGGACGTGCCATGGGCACGCACCGCGTGACGTGCCAAGCGGACGCGCTACGGAACGTGCCAATGGACGTGCCGCGGGACGTGCCAGGGGGCGCGCCACGCGACGTGCCAGGGGGACTCGCCAAGGGACGCCCCAGGAAACGTGCCAAGTTGCAATGCTGAGTGTATCGATCTTGATGTACCATGCCGAAATCTGTGCTGTGCTGCGCCGTGCTGAACTGCGATGTGCCATGCCGCGATTGTGCTCTAGATAGCGTTGTGGATCGAGTCCTCTTTGCATCCGAGTCCTGACCGAACTGATCTGGATCTTAAGCTCGAGCTGCCTGAACACATAGCAGCTGCCCCAGAACTAATCGACAGGGGGACATGCCAGGAGGACGCGCCGCGGAACATCCCAAAGGACACGCCAAGCGACGTGCCAGGGGACGTGCCACGGGCACGCACCGCGGGACGTGCCAAGGAGACGCGCTACGGAACGTGCCAATGGACGTGCCGCGGGACGTGCCAGGGGACGCGCCACGCGACGTGCCAGGGGGACTCGCCAAGGGACGCCCCACGGAACGTGCCAAGTTGCAATGCTGAGTGTATCGATCTTGATGTACCATGCCGAAATCTGTGCTGTGCTGCGCCGTGCTGAACTGCGATGTGCCATGCCGCGATTGTGCTCTAGATAGCGTTGTGGATCGAGTCCTCTTTGCATCCGAGTCCTGACCGAACTGATCTGGATCTTAAGCTCGAGCTGCCTGAACACATAGTAGCTGCCCCAGAACTAATGACAGGGGGACATGCCAGGAGGACGCGCCGCGGAACGTCCCAAAGGACACGCCAAGCGACGTGCCAGGGGACGTGCCATGGGCACGCACCGCGGGACGTGCCAAGGAAGACGCGCTACGGAACGTGCCAATGGACGTGCCGCGGGACGTGCCAGGGGACGCGCCACGCGACGTGCCAGGGGGACTCGCCAAGGGACGCCCCACGGAACGTGCCAAGGAACGTGCCAAGTTGCAATGCTGAGTCTATCGATCTTGATGTACTGTGCCGAAGTCTGTGCTGTGCTGCGCCGTGCTGACTTGCGATGTGCCATGCCGCGATTGTGCTCTATAGCCTCGTGGATCGAGTCCTCCTCTGCATCCGAGTCCTGATCTGAATCGTAAGCTCGAGCTGCCTGAACACATAGTAGCTGCCCCAGAGCTAATTGACAAGGGGACATGCCAGGAGGACGCGCCGCGGAACGTCCCAAGGGACCCGCCAAGCGACGTGCCAGGGGACGTGCCACGGGCACGCACCGCGGGACGTGCCAAGGGGACGCGCTACGGAACGTGCTGGGGACAAGCGTTTCGCTCGAGACATCCTGCCAACATCCTCAGAATTCCTGCGCGCGGGGCGCGGACGCGCGAGACATCCTCGAAATTCTTGCGAGCGGGACGTGTAAACAAGCATTTCGCCTGAGACATCCTCTGAATTCTGGACCCCCACGAGGCCCCCCACGAGGCCCCCGCTCGAGACATCCCCCAATTTTGCAAAACCAGCGGTTCGCTCGAAACGTCTTCAACAAATTATGAAAGACAAGCATTTCGCTCGAGACATCCTGCCAAAATTCAAGGAAATCCTACCAAAACAAACGAATTAGTCGAGGTATCCTCGAAATTCCTGCGCACGGGACGCGGCACGCGCGAAACATCATCGGAATTCCTGCGCGCGGGGCGCTTTTCCGCGTCGCGGTCGGCTCTGCAAAACCAGCGTTTCGCTCGAGATATCCTCAACAAATTCTGAAAACAAGCGTTTCGCTCGAGACATCCCCAACTCTGCAAAACCAGCGTTTCGCTCGAGACATCCTCAACAAATTCTGAAAAACAAGCGTTTCGCTAGGGACGACCTCAAAT